AAATCAAACAAGTATTAAATTAAAGTAAATATTGTTGTTTATATATGTAAGTATGTATAAAAAAACAAATTTGTAATAAAAAATAGAAACAACCGTAACAATTTGTGGCGGCGACCCGTTTCATCACAACCAGACACTTTGAAACTCCGACGGCAACTGAATATGAAAACAAAACACATTCATTAAATTTAAGTTCACAATTCACCTACAAAAGCAACAAAACAGAAGCAACAAAAACGAAAAAGCAAATACAGAAAACAAATGAGAAGCTCTCCCAATTGTATATACAACAACTGACTAAGTACAACTACAATAAATAGTGTTGTAAGTACGTACATACATACATACTTATGTACGTATGTAAGTAAGTAACTGAGAGTTGGTTAGTTAAAATTAGTTGGTACGTTTCATTCCGTTACCAATCTGCTATTGGATTTTTTAGGACACTACTATATTTAAATCCAGCAGTCTATCCACTGTAGAGGATAAGTTAACTTAACCACTTTTTTAATAACTACGGTTCTGCGTAATTGAGATCAAAGCCAAAATGTTGTAGTACCTTAATCAGATAAGGGCTGACGCTCAACATACTATAGGCATATAGTGTGGATGCTGCGGTATACGGGAGACCAATATCCATTAAGTCTATTGCTCCATCCAGATCTCAGGTGTGCCAGGCCTACTCTTGTTTAAGTGGCAGTATGTGTTCTTCTTCTGCAATAGGTTGTGGTCAATAATCTGCAACTACTATTTACCGCATATTTATAAATATCGTTGAGTGCCGCCATACACGATGTGCTTTAAGTGAATCAGGCATATAGCGATGTATTTACATAGTTGTCGTAAATACGAAGATTTTTTCTGACATGCCTCTTGGGTGACTCCAAATGCGTTTTATAGCAGTTAGAAGGAAAACATTTGAACGGTAAGGCTTAAATTGGTTTTATGAGGTCATCAGTAAACCCGTAACGGTCCAACATTTTATAGAATTTAGGGTAAATTCTCCTATAACATCCCAGAAGGAACTGTTTGGAAATCATGGAATTGTGTACTTTGACCGGTAAGACCTAAGTTGGTGTTATGGGGACATCTGTAAGCAGCCCGCTTTAAAGCAGTTAGAGTGATACCTCCATCCCAAAAGGAAGTTGTGCACCTTGACTGGTAACATCTATCTAAGTTGGTGTTCTAAGGACAGCTATAAGCAATCCGTAGCGATCCTGATCAGAGATACATATGAGTAAGGACGACCTCCAGACATGTAGAAGAATGTGGTGTCTCTAATCGGGACCAAAATGGATAACGGCACTGGTGCCGAAGTTTATTTCTATACATTTACATTTATAGTCATTTTATGAATTCTATTCAAATATCTGTGAGCATAACTTGTTACGTTGCGGAACGGAACGAAATGACTAATTGTACTTTATTCAAATAAAATAACTATTTTAGTTTTGTATTTGTAACAAAATACAACCATAATAACAAATCTCACAAAAAAATACAACAAAAACAATAGTTTTTTTACATTGCAAGTAATGAGTGAGTACTTGTTGTTTATTATTTAATTTTTTTAACTAATTACTCACAAATCAGGGGAAAAACAAATACATATGTACATATGTATTCTCTAAGATGAAAAATTCAAGTTAACATATAAGAAACAAAATTTTGCTATTCCGCTTTTAATTTAGCGGGTTCTTTAGTAACTACTTTAAGGCAGCAAGAAAACATGTTGTTAAAAAAAACAATTAGCAATCAAAAAGCTTTAGTTAGTTAACTAACTAAATATGTAATACAAAATACGTTTGTATAAGAGTTTTGTTTTCTCTGATTTAGATAATGTTGCCACAAGATGAATTGTGATCTTATTTGCAACTGAAGCGAAATATTTAAAAATAATCACTGTATACCGCAAACTTAAGTTATTTAGTTAGTTTTAGTTAGTTTTAGTTAGTTAGTTAGTTATAGTTCGTTAGTTAGTTAGTTAGTTAGTTAGTTAGTTAGTTAGTTCTTTTATTGTTGTTAGTTCGTTAGTTAGTTAGTTCGTTCGTGTTAGTTCGTTAGTTCTTCGTCGTTAGTTAGTTGTTAGTTCGTTCGTTTTCGTTCGTTCGTTCGTTAGTTCGTTTCGTTCGTTCGTTCGTTCGTTCGTTTCGTTCGTTCGTTCGTTCGTTCGTTCGTTCGTTCTCGTTCGTTCGTTCGTTTCGTTTCGTTCGTTCGTTCGTTCGTTCTTCGTTCGTTCGTTCGTTCGTTCGTGTTCGTTCGTTCGTTCGTTTCGTTCGTTCGTTCGTTCGTTGTTCGTTTCGTTCGTTCGTTCGTTTCGTTCGTTCGTTCGTTAGTTCGTTTTCGTTCGTTCGTTCGTTTCGTTCTTTCGTTCGTTCGTTCTTCGTTCGTTCTTCGTTCGTTCGTTCGTTTTAGTTCGTTCGTTCGTTCGTTCGTTGTTCGTTCGTTCGTTCGTTCGTTCGTTCGTTCGTTCGTTCGTTCGTTCGTTCGTTCGTTTTCGTTCGTTCGTTCGTTCGTTCGTTCGTTAGTTCGTTCGTTCGTTCGTTCGTTCGTTCGTTCGTTCGTTCGTTTCGTTCGTTCGTTCGTTCGTTCGTTCTTCGTTTCGTTCGTTCGTTCGTTCGTTCGTTCGTTCGTTTTCGTTCGTTTCGTTCGTTTCGTTCGTTCTTGTCGTTCGTTCGTTCGTTCGTTTCGTTCGTTTCGTTCGTTTTCGTTCGTTCGTTCGTTCGTTCGTTCGTTCGTTCGTTCGTTCGTTTCGTTCGTTTCGTTTCGTTCGTTTCGTTCGTTCGTTCGTTCGTTCGTTCGTTCGTTCGTTCGTTCGTTCGTTCGTTCGTTCGTTCGTTTCGTTCGTTCGTTCGTTCGTTCGTTCGTTCGTTCGTTCGTTCGTTCGTTCGTTCGTTCTTCTTCGTTCGTTCGTTCGTTAGTTCGTTCGTTCGTTCGTTCGTTTTCGTTGTTGTTCGTTCGTTCGTTCGTTCGTTCGTTCGTTCGTTCGCGTTCGTTCGTTCGTTCTTCGTTCGTTCGTTCGTTCGTTCGTTCGTTCGTTCGTTCGTTCGTTCGTTCGTTCGTTGTTCTTGTTCGTTCGTTCGTTCGTTCGTTTCGTTCGTTTTCGTTCGTTCGTTCGTTCGTTCGTTCGTTCGTTCGTTCTTTTGTTCGTTCGTTCTTCGTTTCGTTCGTTCTTTCGTTCGTTCGTTCTTTCGTTCGTTCGTTCGTTCTTCGTTCGTTCGTTCGTTCGTTCGTTCGTTTCGTTCGTTCGTTCGTTCGTTCGTTCGTTTGTTCGTTCGTTCGTTCGTTCGTTCTTCCTTCTTCGGCCCTTTGCCCCCTTCCTGCCCCTCGGTCTGCGGTCTTCCGCGTTCTTCTTTTCGAAACAAAAACTCTTCAAGAACATTTGATATGTATCTTTCAATCTTTCGAATTAAAGGTTCCTCCAATCTCTAAAATAAACTTAAGTTAACCTTCATGAATTTATGAACGTTAATTATTCTTGAACTTAAATAAATTTTTAATTTAGTATTTTTTAAATAAGTGAAACTACTATACGACACATTGATTTTATTCTCTGTCAAACTACGTTAGATTTCTCACATGCATACACTTATTCTAAGAAATTTTAAGAAAATAAATCAGGTGACAATATGAAAATTGCAGGTGTTTTTAAAGAAAAAAAAACTTACAAAAGTTTAAAATGTATAGACTGTTTGCAATGAACTTGCAGGCATAAAAGCATACAACAACTAATAAAATTAAAAATTTATTTTAATTTATTAATGAATTTATTTTAATTTATTAATGAATTTATTTTAATTTATTAAAAATTTAACATGTTCTTTTAAAAGCTATAGAAAAATATCTTATTTATTAACTTTTGAGACTTAAGAAAAAGGTAATTAAATTAATAAAAATGTTAATAAAATGTATGTTCTTTGAGAATCGTGGCATATGTTGCCCAAAAAAATCACGTGATATTTGAGATAGTAACATATTTAATTAAAAGTAATTGTAATTATAAAAGAAAAGAATATTAAAACAAATTAGTTTGTAGCCTATATTATATTTTCCAGTTATTGTATATAAATTTAAAGTCAACACTTTTTTGACAACACCTCCTGCCTACTAAGGACTAACATTATGAGTCTCACAATGTCAACATTTAGAATATAATACAATAAAAAATTACTTATTTTGGAAAAAAATTAATTAATGAAACAAGTTTTCTTTTTCGTTGGAAACATCGGTGCCTTATTTTTTCTCTATACAAACAGTAATACAATCTGATTATAACAATATACCCATTGCTACGACAAAGCGATCTTCGTTTCGGACAGGCCTAAGTTATACTTGACCAATGATTGTCGACTCGGCGGCAGCTATACCGTTTTTTATTAATAAAAAACTATCGGGAAGATAGTGTCGGTCATAGTAGAATTTTTACAATAAGAATACAACCAGTAGCTTTTGGTCATGTACATATATAAAGGCTTTTCTAACTTGGAGTGGGATGAATAAACCATGTGATACAATTTGTTTCAGATATTACAAAAAACTATTCAATTACTACTTTATTGCTCATTTATTGTTAAATATATTAATGACTATCTAAAACACTAATTAATAAATTTAAATATTGAAATAACAATTAGTGAAATTAATAAAATTAGTATTTTATTATGCACTAACCTTGGAGAATAGCGCCAAAACTTGCTAAACATCAGTTAAATTAACAAAATCACAACCCTAGCTCATAGCATATTAATATAATTATTAAAATATGACAAAACACAAATTGCCATAACTAATTCTGATAAAATTATACGATTTTATTTAAAAAAAACATAATTTTTCCTTAACAATTTAATTTTTTTACTTTTTTTCAAAAAACCGCACTTTTGTTTATATATTACGCAGAAAAACAACCACTATTGTGAATAACAAATTCATTCACAATAATACATCCAACCATGACATGTGTCACATTTACAAAACATTCACAATACGACTTATGACAAACGTCAAGGCAGCAATAAATGTTGGCAAAAAAGAAGCATTGAAATAAGAAGGATAAAAAAAATTATTCGCGCATTATAATTCTTTACTAGAATAATGCAAAAATATAAATTTCACAATTTGCTCAACATTTTCAACTAAATAACAAAAACAAACAATATAACGTAAGAATTGAAGCAAGAAAAATATAAAAGCCGCACATTGGAATTATAAAGAAAAGTGTGTGTGTCAGAAAAAAATCCAGACAAAAAGGTAAGACGGCCTAAAAATCACAAAAAATAGAAATATTTCATAGCAAGAATAAAAAAAATAAGCGTGCGTTGACGATAGATAATACAAATACTACATACACCATTTGGCAACAACAACTAGTTGGAACAACAAAAAGAAAGAAACGAACGAAGATCAGTCTGTCAGTCGATAGAAAATTTCTTTTATTCAACTCTATTTGTTAGATTTGTTTGTTGTATTTGCGTGTTAAATTTCTTTTCTTTTTGTTTTAGATTTTAGTGAAATATCTATAATAATTGTTAAAGCGCTGCAAATAAAATGTCTGTGGATGCTTATGGACCCAGTTCTCAGACCTTAACATTTTTGGATACCGAGGAGAATGATTTAATTGGAGCCGATACACAAGCATCTGACTTTGACTATCGTGACTTAACCTTGGCCTCTCAAACTCAATCTTCACAACTTGAAGGTGGTCTAGGTGCTAGTGGTGGTATTGGAAGTCAAGTAAGTTTATTTGTTAAAATTAAATGATCTTGTTGAAAGAAGAAACTATAAATTTCTCGTTTAAAAATATTGGATTTTTGAAAAAAATTAACAAAATATTCTTAAAACTTAAAATTTTGAATATTGGAATCAGCTGTTCGATTTCGACATGTGGTTGTAGTTATTGCCACACTCTTAGAATACAGATCATGAAAAGAATGTAAAGAGTAGCAACAAATGTGTTTAAAATTTATATAGGTATTTAACTAATATTACCCGATGTGATTCGATACCCTCATCGTTACTAAATAAAAAGTCAAAATCCCTAACATAGTGGGAATCAGCTACCTGTTAAAGAACGAAATAGTACCAAAAAGTTTCCTTTTATATACTACCATTTGATCATGTTTAATTTCGTATTTCAAGGTTCAATATAATAAATTTAAAAAGTACCAGTAACGAATGAAAAAGCACCAAAAAGTCCTCTTTTATAGACATTCGTTCAATTAGGACGCTGTGTGTTTAATTCTATAGTTATAACAGATTTAAAAAGTACCAATTGATGAATTAAACGTACTAAAAGAGTTCACTCTTCATTCATTTTATCAGGAAAGTTTATACCTAAGTATAAGTTCATGTGTTTCTAGGTGCAATATTGCAGAAAAATCAAAAAGTACCAATTGAATAACGAAAAAGTATCAGATGCACCAGATTTCTATTCACTTAGGACTCCATGTTCCGAGGAAGAACGAAAAAGTACCAAAAAATCCCCTTTCAATATTATAGGAAACTCAAAAAGCACTAGTAAATTAATAAAAAAAATCCTTGATATCGGGGATACAAATACGTGAAGTGCAAAAAAGTACCAAAATACAGTTTTTACCTGTTAACACCCTAAAAGGGTCAAATTTCGGAAACTATTCTCCGGCCAATCTTACGGGGATTGGTTAATACTTGGATAAAGATTTTCTTTTTCGATTATAACAAGAACAAATTGTTCATATTTATAAAAAAATTGATAAAATATTGTTTATTTTCCAGAACTTACGCAAATTAGATTTGCAAACAAAATTAGGCACCGCCAACGGCTCAGCTGATCTACAGTTCGAAGAGGAGGATGAAGACAATGCCTTGTGTCCAGTTGATGTTTTACCTCCGCATGCTTGTAAATACTGTGGCATTCATGATCCCGGCACCGTGGTAATGTGCAACAATTGTAAAAAATGGTTTTGCAATGGCCGTGGCAGCACTTCGGGTTCGCACATTGTCAATCATTTAGTACGTGCCAAGCATCGTGAAGTCACTTTGCACTCCGAAGGTCCCTTGGGAGAAACAGTGCTCGAGTGTTATTCTTGTGGTGTACGTAATGTATTCGTTTTGGGTTTTATACCAGCCAAGGCTGATTCAGTGGTCGTGCTGCTTTGTCGTCAACCTTGTGCAGCTCAAAATTCTCTTAAAGACATGAATTGGGATCAAGATCAGTGGAAACCTTTGATATCGGATCGCTCCTTTCTGCCGTGGCTGGTAAAAGTACCCACCGAACAAGAACAACTGCGTGCCCGGCAAATTTCCGCTGCGCAAATTAATAAACTAGAAGAATTGTGGAAGGAGAATATTGAGGCCACTTTTCAGGATCTAGAAAAACCCGGCATAGACACTGAACCCTCGCAGGTGTTGCTGCGTTACGAGGATGGTTATCAATACGAGAAAATATTTGCTCCCTTGGTCATGTTGGAAGCCGAATATGATAAGAAACTAAAGGAATCTCAGACGCAGGAAGGTATTGAGGTACGTTGGGATATCGGTTTGAATAAGAAGACCATAGCCTACTTTACCTTGGCGAAAACCGATTCTGATATGAAGCTAATGCATGGTGATGAATTGCGTTTGCGTTATGTGGGTGAGCTGCATAAACCCTGGGATGCTGTTGGACATGTCATAAAGGTGCCCGATAACTTTGGCGAGGATGTAGGCTTAGAATTGAAATCATCTGCCAAGGCCCCTGTGCATTGCACCTCCAATTTTGCTGTAGATTTTATATGGAAATGTACTTCGTTCGATCGTATGCGCAGAGCCTTAAAATTATTCGCCTTTGACCGCAATTCTGTATCAAATTACATATACGCTCGTCTCTTGGGTCATGGCCGTCCCGATGGTCTAGATGAGCCGGTGTTCCGTGGTCTTCCTCCTAAGCTGTACAGTGCTCCTAATTTACCCGATCTAAATCGTTCCCAGGTGTATGCTGTCAAACATGCTTTACAAAGGCCTTTGAGTCTTATTCAGGGTCCACCAGGTACCGGTAAAACTGTTACTTCTGCTACTATTGTCTATCAACTTGTTAAACAGCATGGTGGCACTGTTCTAGTATGTGCTCCCAGTAACACTGCTGTCGATCAATTAACTGAGAAAATTCATCGCACCAATTTGAAAGTGGTACGAGTCTGCGCCAAGTCCCGTGAAGCCATCGACAGTCCGGTCAGCTTTTTGGCTTTACACAATCAGATACGCAACATGGAAACAAACATTGAATTGAAAAAACTCCAGCAATTAAAGGATGAAACCGGCGAATTGTCATCGGCTGATGAAAAACGCTATAGAACATTGAAGAGGGCTGCGGAAAATCAACTTTTGGAGGCAGCTGATGTTATTTGCTGTACTTGTGTGGGTGCCGGTGATGCTCGTTTGCAGCGCATTAAATTCACTTCGATATTAATCGATGAATCGATGCAGTCTACCGAACCGGAGTGCATGGTCCCCGTTATATTGGGTGCTAAACAATTGATTCTAGTTGGCGATCATTGCCAATTGGGTCCTGTGGTTATGTGCAAGAAGGCCGCAAGAGCTGGTCTTTCCCAAAGTCTTTTCGAACGTTTGGTCGTCTTGGGTATACGGCCTTTCCGTTTGGAAGTACAATATCGTATGCATCCTGAATTGTCCCAGTTCCCATCGAATTTCTTCTATGAAGGTTCACTGCAAAATGGTGTTTGCGCCGAGGATCGTAAATTGAAAATTGACTTCCCCTGGCCGCAACCGGACCGTCCCATGTTTTTCTTGGTAACACAAGGTCAAGAGGAAATTGCCGGTTCCGGTACTTCCTATCTTAATCGTACCGAGGCCGCCAATGTGGAAAAGATTACAACGCGCTTTTTGAAAGCCGGTGTTAAACCCGAACAAATCGGCATCATTACACCCTATGAAGGGCAGAGAGCCTACCTAGTGCAGTATATGCAATATCAGGGCAGTTTGCACTCTAAATTGTATCAAGAAATAGAAATAGCCAGTGTTGATGCCTTCCAGGGAAGAGAAAAGGATATAATTATCATGTCCTGTGTTAGATCGAATGAAAAGCAAGGTATTGGTTTCCTTAGCGATCCCAGACGTCTCAATGTGGCTTTAACCCGTTCTAAGTATGGCACCATTATTGTGGGTAATCCAAAAATTCTTTCCAAGCAACCTTTGTGGAATCACTTGCTTAACTTCTACAAAGATCGCAAAGTTTTGGTAGAAGGTTCTTTGAATAACTTGAGAGAATCGCTCATTCAATTCCAAAAGCCGAAAAAATTGGTCAATACCTTAAATATGGGAGCTCACTTCATGAGCACCATGATGGCAGATGCCAGGGAGGCGATAGTGCCTGGTTCATTTTATGATCGTTCGGGACAATTTGGTTATTCCGGCACTACTACAGCCAACAATTTTGGTTACAACTTTGGCAATAATTTGATTGGTGGCAACAATTCAGCCTTTGGTTTCACCAATAATGCTCATCTACAAAATATGGGTGGACAAAATGCCGGCAATAATGCTATGAATAATTATATGAATTCCGCTCATTCAGCTGGTGGTATGCCAGGTGGTTTTAATGCTCCCGGTTCACAGCGTTCGAATATGAATCAATTCAATTCGAATATGAGCAATGGTCCATCAAACAATCAACATAACTGGCACAACTTCCAACACGATTCAATTTCTTACATATCGGCCGAAAGAGCTCAAGCGGCCATGAACAATATGCCAGTGCCAGTGGGTATGTTCATGAATATGAGCAATATACCGCCTCGTTTCTACAATCAACATCAACAGGCCATACAAGCGGCTGCCAAACAGGGTCGTCGTACTGCCGGTTTTTCTGGCAATCAATCTAACGCAACTGGCACAACTAAAAATCCACCACTTAACAAAGCCCCCGGTAAAGGCCGCAATACAAACTCTGCTACTTCAGCCAATGCCACTGCTGCATTGTCATCAACATCAGCTGCTACTGATGTAATGTCAGCCTCAAATTTGACCGGTTCTGGCAACTCGTCACAGACCACGGCGCCCATATTTACCCAAAAGAATATGTCGCAACAAATGAGTCAAACCGTATTCACCGGTTTATCGCAACAGCCGGAATTATCACAAGATTTTGGTCAAATATCACAAATGGATGGTATATTATCGCAGGATGTTGGTTTCGGAACGGTGAGTTTTTATATTTTTTTTTTGTTAGTTAATGGTCTGTTAAATTCTGTAGCGGAATTCAAATTTCATACGAAAATTGTAGCAAATTTTGAGAGATTTGGATTAATAAGGTTTTGGTGCTTCTTTACATGCATATTTAATCTTTTAATTTTTCTTCCTTCAGGATGCACTCAACAACGATCGCTTAAATTTAGGACTTAATTCTCAGAGCCAATTTTCACAGCCTTATTGATAGATACCAAACAAAGGTTGATGATCTACAGCAACTAAGAAAAGCAGTAGAAGCAACAACAGCAGAAATAACAACAATATAAGCAACTTGAAGTAAAATCTACAAAAAGAACTATAAACAAGAACAACCAAGAAACTTTTTTTACAAAAACAAATCGAAAAACAAACAACTTTTGAAATAAAAGGAGGATGACACGTAACGCGTAAACCAGAAAAGAACTATCAACAAAACAACAACAAAAGAAAGTAAGGTTAAGAAAGAAGACACTTTTTTCTAAAATAACAACAACAGCAGCAGCAACATGGCACACACCACTGACAACAATAGCAGCAGCAGCAACAATATTATTCAAAACTACAATATGTTGCAAGAAAATACGACGATAATGATAATAAGAAGAAGCGGTTTAACTGCATGAAGGATCGACACAGTCGTCTTGAGAGAAAAACTATTTTTTTACCAAAACTTTCGTAGCGCCAGAGAGAGTTGTGCATTTGAAAGTTGAAAACATTAATACATGTTGCATTCAATGACATGGATGTGACTAAAGTTGTCAAAGTTGTTTTCGGAGCCTTAAAATAAAATAAAACCGCTTTTATAATTGAGGACATTTTAAACAAAGAAAAAAGTGTGCTAGGAATTCAACCATTACTATTGTGTATGGTCAAACTTAAGTTAAGACTTAAAAGTAACGAATGACTGCAAAGATAAAAGAGGATACAAACAATAAAGGATTTTTCATTGTAGCATATTTTGTGGTCGGTCTACGACATATTTTGATTTAAAAAGAAAATAGCTCGACAAAATCAAAATATAAAAAAAGTATGCTGCAAAAACTATAAAAACTCCTTTTTTATGACCAGTTGGACAAAAAGAAAACTAAAGCTTACAAGCAACAAGGGAACAAGAGAAAAAGACAAGAATGACTGTAAAGTCAAAGTTAAGTTTAACATGGGCTCAATTTGTAAGAGCATTTGTATAAATGTTACTTAACGGTCACTTGGTTAAAATAACTTAATGACCATTGATACTTTTTCTTCCTTTATTTTCTCCCTCCATTAAAAAAAAAACTCTCCCCTTATCATCAACATGTGAACGACTTGTTTCAGGTTTATGGTCTCACTGTCATTACATAAAAACTAAATAAATACAAATCGTTGTATCAATAAAAACATTGTTAATAATAATTTCATTTACAATTTTAACACAAATTTCATTAAAAATGTTTTCTATAACTGAAATTTTGCCTTCCGTTTTGTTTAACAAAGAAAAAAATGAAAATCATTAATTTGTTTTTTTAAATATTTCAAATTTTACTTGTTTGTTTTAGTAACATTGCAAAAATGTCTGTTCAACACACACACACACACACTCTTCTATGGGTGACATGACCGATTTTTGATTTAAAATTATCGGTTTAAAAGTCTCCCATAATTTTAAGTTTTTGTAATATTGCATGTTTTTTTATTGAGAAAATGTTGGCAAACATATTTAATATCAGGTCGACAAAAAATATTATTATTATTTTATTTGTATACTTTTTTTTTTTGTTTTCTTATGTTACAAGTACAATATTAGAGAGAAGAAAAAAAAAACGAATGGTTTAGTTTAAACTCAAAATGATATGTAATTCGTTTGGATGTGTTTTTCAAAAATGTATTTGCAAAGAAACTAAAAACAATTATAATAAAGAGAAAATGCTAAAATAAAGAATATACATTACATACATTATTGCTATCAAATCAATTTGAAATTGTGTTTTGTTTCTTTTTTCAATTTTTTGTTGAAAAAATGGATTTTTAGATATAGGTTTATAAGATTATAGTGAAACAAAATCTTGTAAAAAAAAAAACAAAAAGTACTAGTTGAAGAATGAAAAGGTAACAAAAGTCCCATAGGACCATGTAAGTTTCTTTAGCTTTTAAAGAACTAAAAAGTGCCAAAAGGATCCCATTTGTAGATTCTCATTACTTTGCTCTCTATATGTTTAATTTTATGCTACTAGGTATATTTAATATTATAGAGAACTCAAAAAGTACCAGTTAAAGAACCAAAAAATAGTACTTGATAATCACTCCTATTCTGCATTTCAATTCGAATCAAATTTTTCTCCGTTTGGCAGCAACTTACAAAAACGTATGCTTCTATCGTCGTAATACAGAATACGATAGTAAAGCAATAAAATAATTATTTTACTTACGATTCCGTTTTTTATTGGAATACCTATTTTCGATCGTAGCGTCGTAACTGAATGCGGAAACGTAATAGAAATACAGAAGAGGGATGAATGTGTCTAATTCCAGATTTTTTGTTGCTATTGAAGTAATAAAAAATCAAATGTTCATGTTTCAGTAAATAGGAAACAATGTTTTATAAAAAAGTACCAAAAGTAATCCTAAGTTTTAACCCTAAAAACGTTCGAAATTCCAAAAAGTACCAAATTTGTATTTTTGTAATTTTTCAAAAAGGAACTAAAGTGATTATACATTTTATTACCAGCAGCACTGGTTTAAAAAATGTTTACTTCCTAATAGGCCCGAATTTCAAATTATTTAATTAAATTTTTATATCCTTCAACACTATAATAGGGAGGGTATTATGTGTTTTTGCTGATGTTTGTAACACTCAATGTATACCAATCGGCTTCGAATTACTTTCTAAGTGGATTCACGTAATTATCGGTCGGTCCAATCTTGGCACTAGTCCCTATTAAAAAAAGCCCCCTAAAGAAAATGACTTAAGGATCAATAATTCACTTTTAAACACTAGTATCACAAATTAGGCATTAATAACTTTAATGTAAACGTAAATCCCTTTACCAAAATTTATTAGGATATGCCCATATTTAGCCTTGGTCCCATATAACTCTTTTTTCAGAAAATCACTTTTTATACCCTACACCACTATTATGCGTTTGTGCTGATTTTTGTTACGCATCAAAATATTAGTACTACACCAGCCACCTTAAAGTTGACCCAGAATCACTTTCTGAGTCGATTTAACATGGACATCGTGTCCATGTAAACGTTGTTATCAAAGTACAGGTCGCAATTTTCAAGATAATTTGATGAAATTTGGCATATGTTTAAAATCGGACCATTATTTCACCAAGCCCCCATACAACTGAGCTTTCAAGCTCATAATACAACTGAACTTTCGAGCTCATAATTATGTAAAATATAATTGTATCTCGATAAAAGGTCGCACAACGAAGTTTTATAAACCTTTATTACCTTGCCGAATTTCAAAATGATCGGACCTCATTTGACCCTAGCCCCCCTACAAAGTGCCCTTCAGAAAGTGACTAGAATATCTACAATTCACTTATTAACCCTAATATTGCGATGAAATTTAGCACATACAAATATTATATAAATCTATTCAGCAGATTTTATCGGTATCGGTCCATATTTGCTCCTAAACCCCATCTTTCGAAAAATTAGTTTTTCGTCAATAAATTCCTTAAATAAATCGAAATCAAGTTAATATTCAGGATTATATTAATAAATCACATTTAATATTCATAACTAGTGTAGGGTATCATATGGTCGGCCATGCACGATTATACTTCCTAACTTGTTTTTGTCAACAAATTGTAAATTTATTTCGAAATTATTAAAAAAAAAAAAAACAAATTAAATACTTTATTATTAAAAATAATCCATATTTTTAACATACTCACTGGTGTAGGGTATCATATGGTCGGCCATGCCCGTCTATACATTCTTACTTCTTTATTTTCTGGTTTTTAGTAAAAATTTAATTGAAAAAACGAATTTTTAATGAAAAATCTAATATTTTTTAAAAATTCCAATCGGAAGTATCGGAATTTTAATAGAATTTGGAATTTTAGTAAAAAATCGATTTTTTTATGAAAAATTTAGTGAAAAATCTTAATTTTAGAGAACATTTAAAACTGGGTTTTTTGATAAAACCCGGATTTTTAGTAAAGTCAAAAATTTTTTTGGTATTTTTAGTGAAAATTTTTAAATGAAAAACTGATAATCATTTACTTCAATAGTGTTCTAACTAAAAAGTCAAAAATCTAAACTACAAAGTACAAAATATCCACCGAACTATAGTTTTTCTACATTAAGCGATATGTTTTTTAATTGTGATACAATTTATCCCCAATTAGTTCTACTTATGTACTTTTAAATAACCAGTAATTACAGGGTAAATCATTCCCTAATTGTTAGCCAATACTTACCACAATAAGTTTTAATAAAATACAGTTTAATTCCATTGGAATGCCTTTCTCTTTTTTTTATTGATCTGTTCACAATTTTTGTTTTTCTTTATAATTGTTTAAAACTTATGACAAAAATATTGTGTTTTTGAGCATTTTCCATTTGTTTTACAATAAGGAAATTTAAAAGGATAATGTATAGAGAGAGAGAGAGAGAGTTAAAGATGATAACGATTATAAAAGAAAATTTAGAATACAGCATAAGAGGAAATGAAAACAGATATTGAAAGAAAGAGGAAGTGTGAAATTAGAGACAAGGAAGATATGGTTTATAGAAAATAAAAATTAAGAAAAGTAGAGTAAGAAGAAATCGTTGTTTTTTCGGGATTACAATAACAATAATAATTAGGATGCCAAAAAATGTATATAATAAACATGATGAGAAGAATTTGTTTAACAAATTGTTAGAATTTAACCCTGAGTTTACAAAAGAAATAGTTTTTTTTTTATAAATTATAATTGAAAAGATGTGCAGTGAACAAATTTTTAAGAAAATATAAATGTTTTTTTAAGGCAAATATATTGTTTTTAAAGTTTTTAAGAAAATATAAATTAGTAAACAAAAAACTTATAGTGAGAAAAATTTTGAACAACTATTACAGTGTTATTTAGCAACTGCACATCTTTTTTACAAAACAATTTTTTTTTTTTACAAAGTTTTATTTTAATACCTAATGAAACCTTCACAGAAGGTGGTTGTATATAGTTTCTTATTTGCAAGTAATGATTTTGATTTTGAAATTTGTTTCTTCTTTTTCTTTTTTTGTTTTTAACAGAAATAACATCATTACTTACATTACAATTTTGAGAAATTTATATAAAGAAAGTTTTTTTTTTTTAAGTTGGACTTATTACAAAAATATAAACTTAAATAGAGTTTTATTTCTCTTTTTTTTAGCAAATGTTTTATAAACAATATAAGACTTCACTAAGCTATTTATCTTCAACAATATTTGTTTTTTTTTTTTGGTTATTTTTTTTAATTATTTTAATGCTGAAGATAAATTTACATTTGTATAAGTTTTATTTAATAAAAAAATTATAATTAATAATAATTTTTATATTTAATAGCTATAACTTCTTTATAAACATTACATTTTTTTTAAAGATTTTTCAAAATGATTTTAATTTTTTTTTTGTTTTTTAAAGATGTTTTAATTTTTTTTTTTACATTAATTTTTTTTTTTTTTTTGGTTTTTTGTAGAAAACTTAACAAATTTTTTAATAATATTTGTTTTGTTTTTGTTTTTTTTTTTAATTTTTTTTTATTTTTCATGGTGTTGTTTCGCTTAGTTAATTTTTTTGTGTTACATTTTTGTTTCTGTAAAAAATATATAGGTATTTATATAATATCAAAATGTGTTATTTTTATAAAAAACAATATTCATAAAAACTTTCATATTCAATAATCTAAAGTGCGTATGTGTTTAAAAATTCGCTTAAAATTTATATATTTTTTTATTTGGTAGGGTTTTCTTTAGTGTTAAATAAATTTAAAAATCTTGTGAAAATTTTCTTATTCATAATTGTTAGATACTTTCACAGATCCACAAAAAGTTGTTAAAATATTACTTAATTAAGTTCGATTTTATTGTTGGGTAAAAGTAAAAAGAAATAAAAAGAAAAAATCCGTTATCAAATTTAATATAATCGATTAATAGTTTCGATAATAGTTAATTTGGTAGAATGTTTAATATTTTTGGTTGTAAATTAAATATTTAATTTGAGTTCTTTAGAGTAAATCATACTTAAATGATGTGAAAATATGCAAAAATAATAAATGAAAACAATTTCGTTGTTAAATTATACACGAAATTTCGTTTTCATTGTTGGGTAAAAGTAAAAAGAAATAAAAAGAAAAAATCTGTTATCAAATCTATTCAAATAATAATCTATGTATATGAATATTAATGAAAATGAAAG